TTTCTGATGATAACCTTTTTAAATTTTTTTTACTACTAAAATGGTTTCTTATTCTTTTAAAGTTTTAAGTGCTTTTCAAAAAATACTTCTTTCTATTCATTATGACATTTCACCTTTATTATTTTGAGTTTCAGTATGTGCAAGATTTGACCTTAAGTCTGTCCCATTCGAATTTCACAACCATCTCAGGAACAGGTTTGAGGCCTTGAGCACAAATGAGCATAGACCAAATGAGCTCTGGGAGGATATCAAGAAAATCGTCCATGAAGAATGCAGAAGATCATTACAAAGGCTGAAGAAGAAGACCAAGATGGATGTCAGATGAGACTCTGAGTATTGCATTAGAGTGCCAAGAAGCCAAAGCTAAAGGAAGAAATCAAAGAGCTGAAGAGAAAATTTCAAAAGGCACCTCGGGACGACAAAACAAGATACTATAATGAAATGTGCAGAGAGCTGGAGTCAGAAAATCAAAAGGGCCAAACTCGCTCAGCGTTTCTTAAGCTGAAGGAGTTGAAAACCAAATTCAAGCCATGGGTGACAATACTTAAAGATAGTTTGGGTAGAATAGAATGTTAAATGATCCAGGAAGTACCAAAAGATGGTGGAAGGAATACACAGAGTCACTGTATCAGAAGGAATTGGCTGACACAGAGGAATTTCATGAAATAATGTATGAGCAAGACCCTACGGTGATGAAGGAGGAAGTTCAAGTTGCTCTGAAGGAATTAGGGAAAAACAAGGTTCCCGGAGTTGACAGCATACCAATTGATTTATTTCAACAAATAGACGCTGCCCTGGATGTGCTCACTAAGTTGTGCCAGGAAATCTGGAGGACAGCCAGCTGGCCAACTGACTGGTAGAGATTGATATTTCTTCCCATTCCAAAGAAAGGTGACCCAACAGAGTATGGAAATTATCAAACAATATCATTGATACCACATGCAAGCAAGATTCTGCTGAAAATTATCCAAAAACGTTTGGAACAATATGTCAACAGAGAACTGCCAGATGTGCAGGCTGGATTTAGAAGAGGTCGTAGTACTAGGGATATTATAGCTAATGTTAGATGGATCTTGGCAGAAAGCAGAGAATACCAGAAGAATGTGTATTTGTGCTTCATTGACTATGCAAAGGCTTTGACTATGTAAATGACAACAAGCTATGGCTGACTCTGAGAAGAATGGGAATCCCAGAACATTTGTGCTAATGTAAACCTATACTTGGACCAAGAGGCAGTTGTCAGAACAGAGCAGGGAGACACTGGATGGTTCAAAATCAAGAAGGGGGTCCATCAGGGATGTATTTTGTCTCCATACCTTTTCAATCTGTATGCAGAACAAATCATCCGGAAGGCTGGGCTCTATGAGGAGAAATATGGGGTCAGGATTGATAGAAAAATCATTAACAACCTGTGTTATGCGGATGACACAACCATGCTCGCTGAACCTCAGGAGGGCCTGAAGCACTTGCTGCAGAAGGTCAAGGACTGCATTCTTCAATATGGATTGAAGCTCAACATCAAGAAAACAAAGATTCTCACCACTGGGCCAAGTGGCAGCATCAGTATGGATGGTGAAGAGATTGAGATAGTTAACAGTTTTAGTTTACTTGGTTCCACAGTCAGCACTCTTGGTAACAGCAGCCAGGAAATCAGGAGACAAATTGCATTGGGAAAGTCAGCTGTGAGGGACCTCTCAAGAGTACTGAAGAGCAACAACATCAGGCTGGAGACTAAGGTGCACCTGGTCCAGGCTACAGTCTTTTCAGTTATGTGCTATGCATTGGAGAGTTGGACAGTGAGTAGGGATGAGAGGAGAAATGATGCCTTTGAGCTGTGGTGCTGTAGAAGAGTGTTGAATATACCATGGACTGCTAGGAGAACAAACAGGTTTGTCCTGGAGAGGATGAAGCCAGAATGCTCCTTGGAGTCAAGGATTCTGAAGCTTTGTCTGACATACTTTGGGCATGTTGCAAGGAGGGACTGGTCCTTGGAGAGGGACATCATGTTTGGGAGAGTGGAGGGACGGCGCAGGACAGGAAGACCCTCAATGAGATGGATCAATTCTGTGAGTGGAGTGGTGGGAATGAGTGTGTTTGAGACGGTGAGGTTGGCACAGGATAGAATGGCATGTAAGCCTCTGGTACGTAGGGTCGCTATGAGTCGCAGGCAACTCAGTGGCACATAACAACAACATGTGCATATCCTTATGACTATTTTCATTATGGATAAACACAAAAGGGATTGTTTATTTTTGATAACCAGAAGGGCCAAGTGTTCAAGTTGACACATAGAATTGTTATTAAAAAGAAAAAAGCAATTTCCAAAGTAGATGATTTCACAGTATTTTTGTTAACTTATAATTTACTGCTGTATTCAACTATTGATATTTTTATTAATTATATGTGAAATTTGAAAAATATATTTATATGATGATTCATTTATGTCCTTTTCATGGTAGATGTTCCTTATGCTGATAGAAGATCAGCTGTGTCTACATAAAGTTATTTTTGCATATCCTTGGGACCTAAGTGGCCTCAGTAGAATCATTACCTAAATCCTAGCAGGTGGATACTAGATGTTTTGCTCCATTGTTTAACTGACTGAAGCACCTAAGTTGTGGTGGATGGGGCAGTAATGTGTTTCTTGTGCCAAGTTCTTAAGAAAGTAGGCAGGCTTGCCAGCAGATTTTTGAAAGTTCCCTAGGGATGTCGTAAAGAAAAAGAGATCTGCAAGCCAGTGATAATCAAGCCATTTGCAACCCTTTGGAAGGTATACCATAGATCTAGGCATTGTTTATGCAGGTTCTCGGTCTTCTGTCAAAACATGAAAACTATTCTCCAAAGCCAAAGTTGGGATAAAATAAGAATCTGTTGCATAGTACCTAATTTAAATAGAAACTTTCTCTGTGCAGATCTTTGTGTGCTAAGGGAAGGGAAGAACATTTGGACAACTTAAAGCCATGTGTTATTTGCCTTATAGCATGCTGTCAGGAGCCTGTGCATATCTACATAGTTACTGTCTTCTGTCTGTCTCCTATTTCCTCTTGGCCGTATTTACAATAGGCACAATAAGTAAGACCCCAGTTTATAATTGAAAACTCCCTCACAAATAATTAATAGTTGTCTCTACATTATACTGTATGAACTAACTCAGTCTCATAAGGACAAATACTGCATAAAACCATTATTGTAAAAATCGAAGGATAACTAGTAAAATATGTATGGGGGCCCACAGGGAGAAAGGGTGGGAGCAGAGGGATGAAGATAAGTAGGGGCAAAACCACAGGGTTGCACAGTTTGGTAGGTGGAGGGAGGAGGTGAAGGAAATGGGAAGGATCTGGCAGGTACCTGAAAAGATAGTGTAATGATGGGCAAGGTCCAATGGTGGTTGATTTTTAAAACATAATGCATGAAAATGATTGTATAAAACACAATATGAATGAAGAACTGTGTGAAACACAATATATATGTACTTTGTAAGTGAACCAATATAAAATTCTTTTAAAAAAATTTTTTGTCTCTAGTTTGGGCCTGCAAATTAAGAGAATTGAGTTGTCCTCTCAATTTTACCCTTAATTGGTTGGTTGACTTTTGGTTAATTGCATCCTCTTGTATCTCGTCATCTGTGAAATGAGGGAGTTGGACAAGATGTTCTCCTCTGTTCCTCGTAGCTCTCATGCCCTCTGGTTCTGTGACCATAGCTGTCAATGCTATTCTCAAAATTTGTACCATCTGTCATCTGTCAGAGAAGTACTATACACAAAGTGTTTGTTGATAGGTGGTGATTTTCAGTGCATAGTGATCTTCATTGGTGGACATTTCTTAATATTAAGAATTCACATTCTGTATCATATACTAAGAGAGTAAGTTGTACATAGTATTAAGCTAGGCAAGGTTAAACTGCTGTTAATTTCTTGCTCTTGTATCTCAAAATTAAGCAAGATTCAGATACCTCCCAAAAGTATTGTTAGAATAATCTTTTAGGACAAATCCTGAATCCCCGAGAGTTGGGGCTAAATGGGTCTGTTTGTTTTTCATGGACTATATTTCTTGTGCTGCATGCATGAGAGACTGTTGGAGTGGTGGGTACATCTGGATGGGAGGGGACCTCAGGGCCCTTGATATGTTAATGTTGTATAGCTTTGTCATAAGTACTGTGAATTAATAAACTAGTTAGGAGGTCTTTGACTCCACGAAGCAGAGACACAGACTCCAAGTAGCTTAAATAATAAGAGAATTACTGGTTTGTATTATTAAGTAGAGAGAAAGGTAGATTTCAGGGTCAGGTCAATCTGGTATCCTAGGCTTTCACTTCTATGAAATTCCAGAATTATCTCAGTTGGACTCTTACTTGTTGTTGCCTTCATCTGTAAGCTATCATCTCACCATGACACAATTGCTAGCAATTTTTTACTTTCCATTCATAGTACAGTGTTGGAATTTCTCAGTCTTGGCACTATTGACATTTTAGCCCAGATATTTATTTGGAAGACTGCCTTGTGCATAATAGGAAATTTAGCATTATACTTTACCTCTACTTGCTAGATGCTAGTAGCAATTCACCCCTGAGTTGTGATAATAAAAAAAGGAAAAGGTCTCCACACATTATTAAAGGTTCTCTTAGATGCAAAATCAACCTGAGTACCACTGAGCTAAAGAAAGATATACCATATTATCAGGTGGGTATCTTAAGAATGAGGAAATGTGTTTCCTAGAACTTTACTTCTCATTGATTCAACTTGGCTTAGTCTGTCCCTCTCCATACCTCCCCTACTAGTGAGGAAGATAGATTCCCACAGACTAATCTTGCTCAGCTTGAAGCCAAGGATGGGATATTTTATTTTTTTATTTTTTTTTTTTTTAGTATGGGATATTCTTTGAAGCGGGTGATTGTTCAGAAGGTTGAGTACCTACATAAATTCAGCAGAAAAAGATAGATGCTAGGCCAGATGCCTACTACTGCTGTAATCTAAATATACCTTTTCCCCCCCTTTTCTTAGTGAAGATTATGGAAAGAACTTTAAAGATATTACAAATCTCATCAATAACACCTTTATTCGGACTGAATTTGGCATGGCTATTGGTCCTGAGAACTCTGGAAAGGTGAGTTTTACTCATGCATGTATGTATAAACTTGTGCTTGGTACCACATGGAGGTATGTGAAATATTAGTACTGGAGTTAGTCATTAGGACACAGTAATGGATTAAGGTTAAATCCATTCCCATCAGGTTGATTCCAACTCATTGTGAACTAAAAGTTTAGTTTGTTGTTGTTGCTAGGTACCATTCAGTCGAGACCAACTCATAGCTGACCCTCCCTAGCAGGTTTTCAGAGGACCTAAGGCATTTGCAGCAGAATGTTAAGGACTGCAGCCTCCAATATAGATTGAAGCTCAACATCAAGAAGACAAAGATTCTCACCACTGGGCCAATTGGCAGCATCATGATAGGTGGCAAAGAGAGTGAGATTATCAACAACATCACCTTGCTTGGCTTCACAATCAATACTCTTGGCATCAGCAGCCAGGAAATCAAAAGACAAATTGCATTGGAAAATCTGCTGCCAGAGACCTCTCTGGAGACTAAGGTGTGCCTGATCAAGCCATGCTCTTTGCAATTACTTGTTATGCTTCAGCAAGTGGACATTGACTGAGGATTACAGAAGAAGAATTTATATCTTTGAGTTTGGGGGCTGGAGAAGAATATTGAATATACCATGGTCTACTAGGAGAACAAACAGGTTCATCCTGAAATGTGTAAAGCCAGGTTGATCCTTAGAGATAAGGATTTTGAAGCTTTGTCTGACATACTTTGGGAATGTTGCAAGGAGGGACCAGTTTTGGAGAGGGACATTATGCTTAGAAGGGTGGAGTGGTAGCACAAAAGAGGAAGTCCCTGGGTGAAAAGGATTGACTTAGTGACAGGGGTAGTGGGGGTAGGAGTGTTAGAGACAATGAAGTTGGCTCAAGATAGAGCAGGGTTCTGAGCTGTTATATGACTTAATGGCACATAACAACAGCAACCTAATTGCACTGGAGGAAATGGCCCATCTTTCTCCCATAGATCAGCTGATGAACTTGAACTAGTTGCCTTAGGGTTGGCAGTGAGGCTCCCTACTACTAAGCCCCCAGAGCTTCCTAAAAGTTTCGTTTGGTGTTGCTATAGTTCACAAAAGAAGGGGGTTTAATGCATAGATTTTGGTTCCTGTCTGAGAAGCACCAAATCCCTTTAAAATTATGATGCAGTTGTTTGACCTGGCTTAAATTCACAGGTATAACATACTCAATTCAGAATGATTTTTTTTTAAATACATATAAGACTAAGTCTTGAGGAGTAGAATTTAGTGACTAATGTTTTTCTGTAACTCGTCCTTCCTTTGGAAAGAAAATGTTCTTGGCTAATGTCTGACAGCTTTGCTGTCATAGTCACAGGAAGTTGTACTGCTAACCACAAGACTGCACCTCTAGTTTGAATCCACCTTCTGCTCTGAGGGAGAAAGATGGCTGATCTCTTGTCATGCGATTGACAGCCTCAGAAACCTAGAGGTTAGCTTGGAGGGTCAACTAAGTCCATTCAAATTCAATGGCATTAAGGAGGAGTATCTGATAAAAATAGTGCAAGAACTTCCTATGCTTTTACAGTATTATATGTTGAATCTGGTCTTTTCCTGAATAGGTGATTTTAACAGCAGAGGTGTCTGGAGGAAGTCATGGAGGAAGAATCTTCAGATCATCAGATTTTGCAAAGAACTTCATTCAGACTGATCTGCCATTTCATCCTCTCACTCAGATGATGTATAGTCCTCAGAATTCAGATTATCTCTTAGCCCTCAGTACTGACGTAAGTCTAGTTTAGAAACTTTTCCTGTCTTTTGCATTTTTATAGTCTCAAAAGATACCCTCTCCTCTATTGTTATCCAATAATGTATGTTTTGCAACAGTAGTTTAAAAAACAACTTTTCATGTTAATATTGTACATTTTACAGTGATGAATACTGAAGTAAGTGTGACGCTGGCTCTGATGATTAAGTTATGTGTCAGCTTGGAAAAGCTATGATTCTCAGTAGTTTGATAATTATGTAATGATGTAATTTGACAGTTAAATAATGATGTAGTCATTGTCCATTTGTGATCTGATGTGATAATCCTCCATTTTCACATAATGCCAGTTTTCACATAGCATACCAGCTCAGTTCAGAATATTTTTTGACAAGACTAAAAGTGCAGTGTTGGAATATAGCAACTAAAGTGTTTTCTTTAGCTCTTAACTTTGGAATAGAAATGGTCTTTGGAACCAAACCAGGTTGGAAGTGAAGAGAGGGTGTATACTGTCCTAAAAGCATTACCTATAGGTGATTGAACTTCTTTCTAGGAGGTCGTTATAGCATGAAGTATATATTTTCTACATTTTTTTCCCTTTGTTGTAAAGGCATCAATTTCCATGTAATACCTGTTCCAGATAATTATACTGAATAATAACCGTTTTGAGTTTTTCGAAGGATCAGATCTCTACTGTTGCATGAACTTGGAAATGGCTGTGCTGCAGAAGTTAAGCATAAGTTATAAAACTCTAATGTATTTTTCTATAACCAAATTAAATCTTTATGAATGTTTTGGTAACTCATTGATACATAAACTGTATATAGTGTTCTGTCCCTAACACTCATGAATTAAATATTTAAAATTTCAGATGCCTATAATGCCTATATCCCAATTGCATTCTCATACTTTCCCCAGATCACTGTTCCTTCCTAGCTCAACCACCTGTCTTAGGAAAGTTCCCCAAAAGAGCAAGTTCAGCTTTTCCTTTCCTGTTTCCTTTAGAAGATGAGGCTATGATGATCGTAGTTATACCTTCCGTGTATGTAATACACTCTCTCATATCTTTTGAGAAGTATAGTCTACTGACCACCAACATAAGATAGGATCATTTGAGGAGCTGATTTAAAATGCAGTCTTAGATTCTAATCCAGATATAGAAAATCTATGACTTTCAATTGGTGGGCTGGAGGGAGGGATGGTATTTTTAAGGTGAGCCCACACACAAACTTGAGAGCAGCCATTGCGCTGATGACTAGGGATGGAAGCAGATTCATCGACTGTGGATAAGCCACACTGAGCTGAAGGGTGGCATAGGGAGGTTGAAGGGGCTGGAAGAGTGGTCTGGATTCTGAGCCTTGTGTGGGTAGACTGTAAGTAAGACTGGAAGATTCAAAGATTGTCATATTTATTCTTTGTCAAAGGAAAGCAGAGGAAGTACTCTTGCTGGGTAGCTTACCTTATAGCAGTACTTCTAGGAAGCTAACCTCCATTAATTCTAGCTGAAAGCCCTTTGAAGGGACAAAACAGCTTCCACAGGAACAGGACCACCCATCTCCATTACTTAGTATTTTAAAGTTATTAAAACAGAGTTATCCTCAGGAAAAAGCAGAAACAATCCCATTTTAAACTTGAAATTTCTTCCAATGAAGTAAGTGTAAAATAATTGGAAGTGGAAAAGATGGACCCTTTTTTTACTGAAAGTACGAGTAAATTATATCAGACCCTTTCATACTGTTTTAAGTCAAATTAGGTAAATGAAAAGGCACAAAGACATGAACATTAATAGAGGAGGTAAAGTTATAGAAAGAAACGGTTAGGTGGATGAAAGAAGCACTGAAAAGAAATTCTACTTCAATCAGTCCCATTTAATTTTATCGATTATGGTACATCTCTCTGCCCCCTCTAGTGACACTGGGCCCAGTAGACCCAAGGTGCCACTGTAATTGACAGTTTTTATCTGATTAAATCTCTGCTGCATTTGAAAATACTGCCAGTTTCTCCTTTTGGAAACTGCCCTTGCTGACCTCTTTGACTTTACTGCTTTTGACTCTTGTGCCTTCTGGCCATTCTCTCTTAGTTTCTTTCTTAAACTCCTTCCAAGCTACCCTTAAATGCCACTTCTCTTTTCACTCTGAAAATTCTCCTACTCTATTTTAAAAATCACTTGAAGAAGTGTAACATTTTCAAATCCCCGTCTCTAACCTTGGCTTTTTCTTAGGGCTTCACGTTTTTATTTTGCTATCACTTGAACATCTTTAACCTGGATATGCCAAAGTACTTTAACCTATAGAACAACCTTTCTCCTGCTCCTTTCCCTTCACTCTTTATACTGTTGTTTTGTACTGTCAAGTTGGCACTGACTCATAGCTGATCCTCCAGTAAGTTTTCAGAGGCAGTAAATTGCACAGGAGTTGATCGCCTATCTTTCTTGCACAGAGCAGCTGGTGTATTTGAACTGCATGCCTTTAGATTGACAGTGCGGTTCATTATTCACTAGGCCACCAGAACTCCCTTTCTTTGTACTGATTAGTATATTGTATGCATTCTCTCCCCAGAGCAACTGATGTGCACAGATACACATGCGCGCACACACACAAACATTCCACGTTTCCCCATGGGAAATGTTACCCAGTTCAATTGATAACTAGCTCATAAATTCTTCCAGAGACTGTTCATCTCTGTCATGGGTCAGGGCTTCACTGCTCTTGGTGAATCCTTTATACTAGTTATAATAATATTATTAATGTACAGATCTTCACAGCTTTTCTTGTTTCTGGTTTGGATCCTCTGAAATTCATCTTTCCCATTCTCATCCAGATAAGCAAAATTGACCATATCATTCCCTTACTTAAAATGCTTTCCCCATAGAATATCTGCCATGAAATAAAGCCCAGGTTCCTCAGTGTGGTGTAGGAGACCTCTCCTGGAGCTGGCCTTCCCTCCCTCTCTAGCATCAGCTTCTTTTGCCCTTCCCTTTGAATCTGTGCTCTACGAATATATCCTGTGGGATTTACCTCCCTGCATATACTGCAGTGTTTTTTGTTTAGTTTTGAACATTTTATGTGAGGCTTGTTGTTCTTTTAACATTTCACTGTGGTTTAAGAGAGTCTTGGTGGCACAGTGATTAAGTGCCTGGCTGATAACAGAAAAGTTGTTAGTTGGAACCCACCCCCCCCAACTCCACAGGACAAAAATGTGGTAGTTTGCTTCTTTTAAAATTACCACGCTGAGGCTGTTGTACTCGTCTGGTGGGATTGCTATGAGTTGGAATCAACTCACTGGCAGTTGCAATGGTTTGGTTTTGGTTTTTGTTGTTTGGTCAAAAGTGTGAACAAGTTAGTTTCCCACTCAGCAATTTATGCACATTTTCTTTTTTTTTTTCCTATAATTATATTTTATTAATTTTCATAAACATTTACAGAGATTTTGGGTTTCCATTCATTCATTGTTGCACTATTCTCTCTACCCTCCTCCCAGTTTGTTCTTGTCCAAATGCCACAGTGCTTGTCAAAGCCAGTTCTGATTAATCTTCTTTGTCTGTGTGTCCTTTGCCATTCCCTATCACTCCTCCCTGAGAGAGACTTCACCCTGAGTCATAAGGAAAAGGGGATGGCGTATTCTCTTAGCTACTTCCTGCTGAAAAGGGACGCTGTGGGTTTCAGGGTGAAGATCTTCTCTCACTACTCTAAAGGGCCCCTTTGGCAGTAGGAAACACATGCACATTTTCTTTTTATGACATTAGTTGCAATCCCTTCAGTGTAACAGTACTCTTACCACTTCCTCCTCAAGTTCCTTGATTTAATTTTTCTAACCTGTCCCTTCCTGCTTTCTGAGTTTTCTTTTTTGTCCCATGCTACCCATTTGGCCTCATATGGTTGATTGTTATAAGGAGAACTTTCTTCACAGGTCTTATTATTCACTTTCTAGGCAGGCTGTTGTCTGGCTGAAAGGTGATCCCAGCGATGGGTAGAGTTCCGGGTTGAAGTGTCTAAAGACCAAAGACTTGGGGGACTCCATTGTTTAAATAGAACTCTGCCTTTGCTAGTCCGCGTCTCTCTGCAGTACTACCTCATCTCCCCGGCCTTCTTCAGCAAACTATCTCCATTGCCTGACCCGACTGCTACTTGGCCCCATGTTGAACTTTTCTCCTTCATTTGCCCCTTGTTAGACTGTGAACTCCTTGAGAGCAGGGAGTGGGTCTTTTTCATCTTTGTATCACCAGTGCAAGGTCTACTAAGTGCCTGGCACATGGTAGGAGCAATAAGCTTTTGTTACTCTGAACTTCCAAGGTTCCAGGGGGCTCTGGATAAAGTATGTGTGTGCCAGCAGAGCTCAGGCTGCTCGGCTGGACCTTTGGCGCATGTCTTTCCTGTTCTGAATAATTGGATATGCATTATTAAAGATCATACGAGCAGCTGCCCAGGATAAAGCCAGAATTTTGATAAGTCATTTATAATCTTTCAGAATGGCCTGTGGGTGTCCAAGAATTTTGGGGGAAAATGGGAAGAAATCCACAAAGCAGTATGTTTGGCCAAATGGTGAGTAATGGAAGACTCCATCTGTTCAGAGCCCTAAACCTTTCCTGACAGTGCTGCCAAAAGTCACTTGAATAAATATTGATCTCTTACTGTGTGTCAGGTACTTGTCAGGGCATTATAAGGGAGGTTAGAGAGAGAGTTATGACACAGACCTTGACCTAGAAAAGCTTCAAATTCTGCAAGATTTGGTTAGACTTGTCAGATGTTAGACTATAAGCTACTAAACCAGGCTTGTCATTGAGTAACTGCTGCCTGTAAAAGGTTATTCTCCATGACTGGTGACAACATGAGAGGATCACAAACTATGACTTTAATTTGGGGATTTATATATGCCTCTCCCTCAGTGTTACTCTCCCTCAGCCCATTTCCATTGTGCTGGAGCACAGCAAAGCAAGCCCAAGAGCTTGCAGCCTGCCTGGTTCACCCTGCCTTGCACCAAAGCTCATTGGCTCTCTGCTGGTGCCCTCCCCCACCAGGCGCCTGCTCTGAGATGCTGGAGTGGAGGCAACTCTTGTTGGGATTCAAGTCCCCTTTGTTCTGACCTGGCTTTGCTTCTGTTCAGTGACTTAACCTTGCTGAGTCTGAGCCCTAGTGTTTTCCTTTAATAAGCTCAAAGAAGGGATTTCTTTGGAGTATTTGGGGGGTGGGGAATGCTAATTTGAGGAAGAATTGAATTAAGAGCCTTCATATCTCCAAAATTCTGTAATTAGGTTTAGATCTTTATTGAGAGTCCTTTTCTTCTTTGGCTAAGTTTAACCAATTTGATAATCTGGCTTCCTGGTTTATAGCAAATTACAGAGAGTGTTATGTATATGATTGCTAATGGCAGTAGAATTGACAGCCTGAGAGCTGGAAGGAGGCAGAAAAGCTATAAAACCTCAGGCATAAAACAAACAGAGTCTAGCAGTATGTAGCATGAAGTTATTTAGTGCTGGATCCAGAAAATAACACAAATCTCAGTAACTTCTAAAGTTGATAACATTGATGTTCATGGTGGTTGTCCCATAGACCAGTGTTTACAGTAAACCAGGCAAATACATAATACATAATGCAGATTTGAAATGTCTTCCAAAAATTAATTAAAATATAAAGTATGCTGCTTAAATAAAGAAGACTTTTTCTAGAAAATGCTGGCTAAATGTAGCTCTTATGGCTTCACAGTGGTGCACATGGTACATCTGCTTTCATTTTATATATTTGAATAAATTCTTTTACTACCATATATACCTTATACAATCTTATCAAGAATGAAGGGGTTTTTTTTAAGTAACTGAGTTAAGAAATTATTTGCTATTAGGCAAGTATATAATTTTTGGGGGGTTTGTTTATAGTTCTTTTTTATTATGAAAACTCATCTGTGAAAATCAGGTTATTTCTAAATTGTATTATATCTTGCAAGGTTTTCAGCTATGCAAGCTTAGTCTTTGTTGAGTGGTGGAACAAAAGATAAGGCTGCTGTTGATAACTGCATACTTTGAGATCTTTGGTCTCTAGGAATTTACAACCTAATGTTCTGAATGAATGACCCAGCACCTTTTGCTGGTGATTATCTGTTAAATATTATCAGAGGTTGAATCTAGTTCCCTACAAACTCTCTCCAAGTTAATACTTTAAATTATTCAACCTCTGACCTAGTTACCTAATTGAGATGACACAGTTAAATTATTTAGCATTGAATTAAGTTCTGAGAGGGAAACAACAAAGTATAACACTTAGTACCTGCCCTGAAGGTAGCCATAGTGTTGTAAGATGTGCATACACCATGCAGTTGTCAGCTAAAACAGTAGAACCCCTCGTGGTGTGGTGGTTAAGTGCCTTTCTTCTGAGAGGTCAGTGGTTTGAACTCACCAGGGTTTCTGTGGGAGCAAAGTGTGACAGTCTACTTCAGTCAGAATTACAGCTTTAGAAACCTTATGGGACAGGTCTACTCTCCCCTGTATGAGTTGGAATCCATTCGAAGGAAATGAGTTTGTCAGAGGACCTCCCAGTGAGGGGTATAGAATGGCATACCCTGGAGTGCTGTTTGGGATTAGTTTCAAATGGGCCATGTCCCTTATATTGCAGAGGCTTTTACGGCCTCTGCTCTACTTACTCCACCTCAGTTGTGACAACCAAAAATGTCTCCAGATATTTTCAGAGTACCCTGGGCCGGACAGGGACAGGGAGCATAATTGTCATCTGTGGAGCATCATTTTTTGCAGCAGAAAAGCTTTCCAGCTACAGTGACAGGCAAAGTTTCATGGAAGAGCTTGATTTCAAGCTGAAACATGAAGATTGAAGGATAAAATGTGTTTACAGGAAAGGAAAGCATTATAGGGCAGTACTACAGTGAGCAAATATAAGAGGTAGATTTGAAAGACGTAAATAGACCAGTTTAACCGGCTAGAAGAATTTACATTAAGAAGTAGTAGATTATGCACACCACTGGGATCAGGCTGTTGGCAACCTCGACTGCTTAAGCTGTGAAACAACTATTTGTTTAACATTTGAGGTTTTACAGCTAGAGCCTTGGGAAACAGTCTACTAGACTTGCTTTTGAGGCTTTGTAGCTAAGGTTGACCACAGTCTCTTAGCAGTCTTGAACCATTTCTTTTCCCTGTCTTTGCCTCATTGTAGGGGATCAGAAAATACCATCTTCTTTACCACCTATGTGAATGGCTCCTGCAGTAAGTATATTTTAGTCTCAGAAAAGTGTATCCTGTTGCCTACTTATTGTAGAATATTCTAGGTTTTAAAAGGTAAAGACATAAAAGACCCTTCCGTTCTCCTGAAATTTTAATAGCTGTTAAAGAATTTAAAAAAAAAAAATCTTATCCACCAGGTGCTCTGCTGGAGAAGGAGGGACAGTCTCCTCCTGTACCTGTCAGATCTGATTTGACGGTACACACATACACACACAAAAAAAAAATCTTGAAAATATAGCCAAATTACTACACCAGGCCTAGGGTAAATAAAAGTGTAACATTGAAAAACAATGAAGAAATCATGAAACATTACACTCCATGAATGAGTCTAGAGGGCATTATGTGAGTGAAATAAGTCAGTCACAATAGGACAAATACTATATATACCACTGTTAAAAAAGAAGAAAAAAAGAAAGTTTACACATGGTAAGCATCAGGCTAGTCTAGTTACCAGCAGTGGGGGGGGGGGGTAGTTAAGAATTAATGGGTAGATAAATACTTTATTAAAATGGGTGGATGGGAGGACTATATGGAATGAATGGACAATCATACATTATATATATATTGTACTTAACATTAAGGAACAACATATGCATGATTGACTGAAAAGAACCACACACTATGTGCTATGTAAACTTTCATACAAATCACAATTAAAAGTGGTTTAAAAGTAGATACAAATAAAAGTATAGGCTACATATACAGAATCTAATTTTTGTAGTGCATTTGCATAGAGCATATATTTAAGCTACGAACAATAATAAAGTGAAATGCATGGCAGTTCCTACAAAAGAGCATGATTGTGTTGTATTGATGGAAGTCATTGCATTTAAATAGTGGTAGAGTTCCAAAGCAGAAAACAACTTTTGTATTCATTCAACTGATAATTATTCTTTGATTTATGAGAAATACTCTTTTGAGAGTTCTAATACCCAAGCCTCTCTTCATACAGCACTTAAGAAAAGACATATAGGAAAGTCAGAAGGATTTTTTAAAAGCCCAAACGCACACAAAACCACTTGAGCAGGATGAGATAATTTTACACTGTGCATGAAGAAAGTTAAGCAAAGGGTAGTGACTGTGGTGTTTGTCTGCAACCCTGTATTGAAATTAAGTAAAAGTAGTAGGTCTCTCCAATGTAAAACCTCAAGAATATAAAATGAAGCCCTACTGTGAATTGTTCTTGATTGCCATTGAGTCAAGCACTACTTTTAGCGACCCTCTGAACAAAGGGCTTTTGATAACTATGGACTTGTTGTTGTTGTTATGTGCCATCGAGTCGCTTGTGACTCATAGTGACCCTATGTACCAGAGCCCTAAACCTGTGTCTAAAACCATGTCATATTTGCATAATCATTTAACCAACCTACATAAGATTGATAATTATTTAGCTGTAAAATTAAGAACAGCTCCAAAACAGCTATTTTTAACTGAAAGCTAACCAATAAGTAAAATGTTAATTAATATTTTGTCTTGTTTAAGAAGCTGACCTTGGGGCAATGGAATTATGGAGAACTACAGACTTGGGGAAAAGCTTCAAAACCATTGGTGTGAAGATATATTCATTTGGTCTTGGGGGCCGTTTCCTTTTTGCCTCTGTGATGGCTGATAAGGTGAGTATTTGTCTCTCTTGATTCAGATATTTCTGTGGGTCAGCCAAATAAGTTGATGTGTTATTGTTGCGTGCATTTTAGTTAATTCCAGCTCATCAAAACTCCATGTGGCAGAGTAGAAATGCCCTACAGGGTTAGAGGCTGTAATCTTTGTGGGAACAGGCCACCGGGTCTTTTTCTTGCTGAGTGGATACAAGTAGGCTCAAATTGCAACCTTTAGATTAGTGGCTGAGAGCTTCACCACTGCCCTGACAGTACCGCCCTGCCGGTACTCTGTGTGCCTTACATATTGCTGTTGTTAGGTGCTATTAAATCTACTCCAACTCATAGTGACCCTGTACACAGAGACCCAAAGTTTGTCCAATCTTTCGCCATCCTCACAATGTCTTCTGTCCATAAGCCAGTTGTATCACTGACTCATTCAGTGCTGGCAAGTCTGAAGCAACTCAGTGGACTCTCCATTGGGTTTCTGATGATCTTTACTTTCTTTTTTTTTTCTTTTAAAACTATTATATTGGTTTGCATAACAAAAATCATATATACTGTGTTTTATATACATATATTGTTTCACACGGATCTTTACTTTTTAGTTTTGATAAAACTCTTGTCATTATGCAACACTTAATATCACTTTAAGGTGTGAGGGTTGATTCTGACTGACTTTTCAGATGTGTTTGCACTTTGGCCGACTGTCACCACATATATTCTGTTATCTTATTTTTGGGATACACTGACCCAGTGTTGACAGAATGCGCTTTAGTCAGCTGTGGATAAATCTCTGTGTGTGTGTTGCCTGTGCCTTTCATGCCTCTTTTTGTCCAAGGGAGAAAGATAGGTAGTCTTCTGTGTTATTTATAGCCTCCAAAAATCTGCAGGAGGTTCAGAACTTAATACTGACTTGATAGCATTGAGTTTGAGTTTTTATACATAAATATATATACACATACATAAAAATATATAAAATCCACAGAGTCATTATCCAATATGTATATTAGGTCACTTTCATTGAATCCTTCTGTGTGCAAGGGTACTGTTCTAGGTTCCTAGAACATAGCAGTAAACAAAACATAAATGTCCTGCTCTCAGGGCTTATATTCAGTTATGAAGGCATCTTACTGAAGAGTTAAGATATTATATATCAAGTAATAATGAACTCTGTGAAGAAGTGTAGGAAAGTAGAGAGAGACATGATGAGGAGCACATCCTGTTTTGATGTTGCTATGTGTCTTCGAGTTACCTGCGACTCATAGCAACTCTGTACTATAGCTCTGACCCCTGCCCTTCCCTGAGCCAGTCTCACTGACTCCAACACACCTAATCCTTTTGCCCCGGTTACTGTATTAATCCATCTCATCTTACGTCTTCCTCGCCTGTGCTGTCCCTCCACCCTTCAAGCATGAAATCCTTATCCAAGGACTGGTCCCTCCTGGCCACATGCCCAAAGTGTGTGAGATGAAGCTTAAGAATCCTCGCTTTGACATCTGTTTTAGGTAGGGTGATTTAGATGAGCTCTTTGTGACCTGGGTGAAGTGATGTCATAAGCCATGACAGCATCTGGGAGAAGAGTAGACTGAAGAAGCAGCAAGTGTGCAGCCCCTCTGATGGGCACATGCTTGCTGTAGCACAGGAAAGAGGAGAAAGGCACTAAGATCGGAGCATAGAGAAAGGTGTTAGAAGTGAGGTTATAGAAGGGGAAACCAGAGACTAAATGAGACAAGGTCTTCAAGGTCTTAAGAGCCTGACTTCTTTCAGTATTGGGATACTGTTGTGAGCAAGGAAGTGGCTTGATTTGGCTTCTCTTGGTAGAATATCTGGCAAGGGGCATATAGCATGCTTATATAAGTAATATGCTCACATAGAATGTGTGCATCGTTGTTGTGTGCTGTTGAGTTGGAACTGACTCATAGCTGACCCTCCAGCAGATTTTCTGAGACAGTAAATCACATGGGAAAAGATTGTCCACCCTTCTCCCATGGAGCAGCTAGTAGATTTGAACTGTGTGCCTTCGTGATTATAGTGCAACTTCTTACCACTAGGCCATCAACCTCCCTGCACGTAGGAGACTAATAATAGGCAAAGGGGTTGCTTGGATAAAACGCATATAACACATATATTATTTGTATAGATACTGTAATTACCTTCTTAATAAACTGCTTTTTTATTTATTTGAGATAGAGGTTGTATTTGTGGCATTTTCCCTTATGTATCTGAAAGTTTCTAAATCTTAATAATTTTTCTGTTCCCTCATTTTATATGCATTTTATTTTATAACACTGTAACTACAATTTTTGCTCATTCATACCCATTTTGTTTTTATAACATTAATTACTATTGACTCGTACAGTTAATTAGGGAGCTCAGGTGGCTAAGAGGGAAGAAGTTGCACTGCCAACCCAAAGGCTCCAGTGCAGATCTGCCAGCTGCTGCGGGGGAGAAGACTGGGCACTGTCTTCCAGTGTGATTGAGTCTCTGAAAACCTGCTAGAGGGTCAGTTATGAGCTGGTTTTGATGCAGTGGTACACAACCACAACAATTCATTCGTTGCAATGCCTGATCAAACCCTTAATGTATATTGCTTTTTCCTTTCACTCAACTTACCTGCTTATTAATTTTTACTCCCCATGCCTCATTACCATCCAGAAATAATTCTGTGTGTTCAGTGACTGATTTATTTCACTTAGCGTACTATCTTCTAAAGGCATCCATGATAGGCAGTGAATAAAGTCCTTTTAGTACTAAATACTACTTAATCAATTTCCTTATAGTGATTTCTGACTCTCTTGGTCTCTTCCCAGTTCATACATGTTCTCTGCATTGTGGTTACCCTGAGAGACTTTCCTAGAGAGTAGGCATGTCACTTTCTCCACAGAATGAATTTTATCTCCGTTTTCTATACTTTTGTTATCTAGCTTTTTAAAATTGTGACAAGACTACATCATGGGGCAGTGAAGGAAGAGTTCCCACTTACCATGTGGAAGACCCCTATTCAGTTTACGGTAGTTGCACCTCTAGTGCAGCTACCACCAGTCTATTAATGGAAGCTTCTGTGCTGCTGTAATGCTGGACAGAGTTTATTTTTGTGTGAGTGTACCGTCAAATCAGATCTGACTGGTACAGGAGGAGATTGTCCCTCCTTTTTCTGGCAGAGCATCTGGTGGATTCGAACCGTGTGCCTCTGGGATTGTAGTTGCAGCTCCTTACCACTAGGCCACCAGAGCTCCCCATGCTGGACGGAGTTTAGCAGAGCATCTAGACTAAGACAGACTAGGAATTAAAACTTGGTCCTGATGAAAATCAGCCAGTGAAAACCCTATCGAGTACAGTGACCCACATGGGACACTCTAAGTTGAAATTTGTCACTGTAAGTTGAAGTTACTCAAAAGAATCAAAGTTTTTATGCAGCAGTAGTTATTTTAAGAATTATCTGGGCAAGCATATGAGAATTAGTATAAGACCAAGTCAGTGATGGCCTCATCAAACTCTTAGCTTTGTTGAAGGAAATTGGCATGTCAGAGCTCAGAAGAATAATGTCTCGCAGTGCCATACCAGAAGGAAGAAGCCAAGGTGTTCTTACTTACAATGGAATGGATTGTTCCATTGCCTGGAACTTTGCTTGAGGTTAGAAGTTGCTTTGATTATTGCTACTGGCACCTTTCATTTATAACAGTTGCACCCAGTAGAGAAAGAAATAATGATTCTTAGAGATAATAATGTTCCTATGCATGTCCCTGTAATGACATCTTGGTGGAAAAAATAAAAGGTTAGTATTGCATTTGTTCCAGGATACAACTCGAAGGATCCACGTGTCAACAGATCAAGGGGACACCTGGAGCATGGCCCAGCTGCCCTCGGTGGGGCAGGAACAGTTCTACTCCATTCTGGCAGCTAATGATGACATGGTATTCATGCATGTAGATGAGCCTGGGGGTAAGAGCTCTCTCACTGAAAAATGTCCTGGCGTTGACTGCATAGAGAGTTGCGCTTCACCCTTTATGTTGAATAGTTTTTCGTATTATATATCAATTTTCCCTTTCCTCCTGGCAGTTTTTGACTGTGTTCTCCTGGGAATCTGGAGGTGTGGCCCATAAGGAGTTTCACTGCTAACCTAAAGGCTAGGCCTCTCTGGAGGTTCACATCCACCAGGAACTCTGAGGGAGACAGATGGGCCGTCTCCTTCTGTTTGATTTATGGCCTTGGGAAACCCACCCAAGGGTCAGTCGTGAATCAACTCTGGCTCAACAGCAATGAGCGAGCAAGATAGTGAATCCCCAACTTAGAGATAATGTGTAGCCTCCATTTCAAAAGCTACCTTCTAAGACAGTGTGTCTGCACAAGTCTTTTTGAGAAGTGCATTTCAAAGAATGGTCAGTGGAATGGTACTGATTGTCCATTTGTTATCAGATAAGTTCAGAAATTGGGAGTCAATGTTTAGAAAAGCTTCATCATTTGACAAAGAATTTTTATCATTAAATCTAATTAAAAAGTTGAGACCTTCATTTGTATGGGGCTTACAGGGTTTTTTTTTCCATTTTACTTTCCTAATAATTAGTTTTTACTATATTTTATAAAAACAGTGGTTTGCTTACAGGTTGGAAAAAATTGATCCTCCCTACAGATAGTTTGAGAAACGTTAGAATCTGTGCACAGTGTCTCTGCCATCAGAAAGATCTGGGAAGAGCTTTTCTTTAGCAGTTGATTAATTCACCCAGCAGACTAAGCATGCCATATGATAGACACTAAGCTGGGTATTAGAATTAAAGATGAGCATGAAGATCTGGAGTGTTAATCAAATAACCTTGATTTAATTCTCAGGTCTGCATCAGCATGAAGAGAGATAGATCATTAATATGTGTGTGATTGAACTAATGTTTTTCCCTTTGTCCCTTCCCGAGACTTAATTTTTTTTTCCCTTGCCTATTTTAGATACTGGATTTGGCACAATCTTTACCTCAGATGATCGAGGCATCGTATATTCCAAATCATTGGACCGACATCTCTATACTACCACAGGCGGAGAGACAGATTTTACCAATGTGACCTCCCTCCGTGGCGTGTATATAACAAGTGTACTTTCTGAAGGTGAGGCTGGGCACAGCTCTCCTGTGCTCTCCTTTAGCTAGGCTTGCTGGGAATTGAAGCTTTCAGGGAAAATGATGGTCCTGTCCCCCACAATAGGGTTTCTTGCCTAGTGAACAAACCTATTCATAGAGACTAGGAACATAGCAAAGCAAATATGAAGAAAGATTTTTTTAGAGGCTTCTGTGTTACTTAGTTTATACGAGTCTTCTATGTTAGGGCTACAGGAATGAGCCCAGTGATTTGAATCACTTCCTGCTTTTTATCCTTACAGTAAGCAGGGCAATAGCCAGCTAAGGTAGTTCTTGTATTCTGCTCAATGGTTCTACAAAGTTCACTTTTACTGAGGTTTAAATACACAAATAAGCGTATTATTTTAAACTATCAAAACTCCTGGCATTTTATTTATTTATTTCTTTTGAGGAAGGAGGTGGGAGCTGTTTATGTCCATATTGAAGAAGACCTTGCAGTGGTCTACAAGGTCCCAAGCAGTATGTGTTCCTGTTTCCTCTCTGACCTCACATCTGATTTCACTTGCTGTCCCTAGTCGCACAGGCCTCATGCCTTCCTTAAACACACCAGGTGCACACCCTCTGGTTCTAGGGATTTGCACTGGTTGTTTCTCTGTTTCCCTGGATATTTGCAAGGCTAACATCTTCCTCTTTTTAGTATTTGTTTCTATGTCTCTTTCTCACTGAGACCTGTGCGACTGTTCTATTTAAAATTTCAGTCTGCTGCCCATACACCTACCCAAACCAAAGCACAATGGGCTCTACTCAGTTCTAGCTCTCAGTGAAAAGGCTGAGAATCTTAGTACTGAGAGACTGCTCCTCTTCCCATCTAGTACTTGGTAGGTTCTCAGTACCTACCAGCCTTTGGTTTGCAGCCCACCATTTAACTCACTGTGACACCAAGACACTAACACGCCCCTGATTCTCTCTGTGATGTGTAAGTTTTCCTCCATAGGATTTATTTTCTAATATATGATATAAGCTACTTATTTACTATGTCTAGTGTTTGTCTCACCTTACTAGAATATGTATTTCACAAAGGTTTTTTAGTTTGTTTTGTTCACTGATAAATTACCAAAGGGTTAGAACAATTTCTTACATAACAGGCACTCAGTAAATATTAAGTAAGTTTTCCTATTTTCTTATAAAGAATGGGAAAGAGAAACAAGGAGGATAAAAAAGAAAAAGTACAAGGTATAGTATATGGGTTAATGCAAAGTAGGAATTACTCATTGAGATTTATGTAAATAAGATTTAAATATTTGTTTTAAATTTTCTTACTGTGGTTTGAATGAAAGTATACAGAGCCGTTTTTCATGAAATGTTTCATACTTTTTGTTGCTTGTTTTGTGACATTAGTTGCAGTCCTCCCGGTGTGACAGCACTCCTCCCACTTCCTCCCTGGGTTCCCTGCTTCCATTCATCTTTTTGCCCCTTCCTGCCTTCTGAGCTTTGTTTTGGTGCAAATGCTGCTCTTTTGTTTCAGTATTGTTCCTAGGATTATGTTCATTATGGGAATTACTGTTCTTTATAGATCTATTATTTGACTGAAAAAAATACTTCCCTTGAGTGGGTTCAGTTCCAGGTTTAAGAGTAGAACATTGAAATCCTAAGAGTCTCTAAAATTAGACATCATAGACTGATTAGAGATTAGGTTGCCTTCCCATCTTAGATTTTACTCTCAGGGCAAGTAAACAAGAAGAGTGCACATCAGCCTTTGGTGTTGATAAGGAGGTGCAAAGTATCTTTTTCAAGAGTGTCAGTTCTACATGTATTTTGGAGTCAAATGGACCCCATTCAAGTGGGAAGTTTTAAAATGTCAGAGTAGAAAATGTCTCCAGAAAGCCTTTTGTTTATCCTCTTGTTTATATTAGATATATTTGTCCTTTACAATTCTATAACTAATCTGCTGTGCGGTAATACCAAAAGGAGGTGGAGATTTGTGCCCCCTGATGAAGTTAAATGTTGTCCCTGCAATTACTATTCATACTTTCATTCTCACTGCTGTGGAGTCAGGAGTTACTCACTCATAGCTGACTCTCCACAGAGTTTTCAGAGGCTGTAAATCACACAGGAGAGGATGGCCCATCTTTCTCCCTCAGTGCAACTGGTGGATTCAGAATGCCTGCCTTTGAGTTGGCAACACAACACCTTACCCATTAGGCAACCAGAGTTCCCAAAATTACAACAGTATTTATAATTTTGAAACAAGAAAAAAAAAAATATGTGTGGATATATATGCCCTGCCAACACAAAAGCACAGTTATATCCACCAGCTGCTCTGTAGGAGAAAGATGGACACTCTTCCCCTTGAGATTTACTGCCTCTGAAAACCTGCTGGAGAGTCAGCTACAAGTTAGTTCAACACCATATGAACACACATGGATATGTGTGTGTGTGTGTGTGTGTGTGTGTGTGTAGATGTATGCAACTGTATATGCAAGTACATGACTATATGCATATGTATTTGTGTATATAATAAAGCATGTAGAGAACACAGTTAAAATATACCTTAGATTTAACCGAAAAGTGGGGTTGGAGTCCTGGATTTAAAGTATTAGAAGCATAGTCTCCCGGGACATTTCTGTCATTTGGCATACTGTAGTTAATAAAGTTTCTGTTCTGCAGCCTAACTTGGTGAGTATTATCTAGGGTCTGAAAAGTATGTGAGCAGTCATCTAAAATAAAACTATTGGTCTCCACTCATCCGGGGGGGTGGGGGGAAGACAGAAATAAGAGATAATAAAAGAAAACCATCTACAGGATTAATAGTCTATACACATCACAGCCTCATCTACCTAGACATCACAACAGCTAGAGAGTATCTGGGTACCACTTCCAAGAATGGTTAGGGTCACAATAGATGGGTCCTGATGTAATGGGAGAAAAATATCGAACAGATCTTCAGATTCGTAACAAACTGACTTAATGGACAGGTTGAGACCGGAGGACATCCAGAGACTCTTGCCTTGAGATACGTCTAAACCTTGAGCTGAAGCTAGCCTCTAAGGTCATCTTCTAGAAGAATAACACATTGGCTCACAAAAATAAATAATAGCACCCATGAGTGTTATGCCTCCTTAAAAATCAACTATGTGAGACTAGTCAATAATTATTCCTAAGAAAAAATAAGAATGTAGAGGATCAGAGAAACTAGAGTCATGAAAACAGAAATATTGAGAATGTTCACACATTATGAAGAATTTAATGACACCAAACAATTTGTGTATGAATTGTTGGTTGGGAATCTAAAATGTCTGCTGAACTGTTACCAAAAACATAATTACTTATGAAACAAGCAAACAAATAAAAAAACCCCACCCTCCGTGCTCCTCAGTTCTGAAGAACACTGAGCTGATTGGTTAGGCTTGTCTGTTAGAAACCTGGGATCATCATGCCTCAGTGAGGGCTCTGGTGAGAGTTATTTCATGATAAAATGAATTTAATCAGATGTTTGCAGTGTATCAGTCTTAATTGTTCTTTTCTTATTCAGATAATTCTATTCAGACTATGATCACTTTTGACCAAGGTGGAAGATGGAAGCACCTGAGAAAGCCTGAGAACAGTGAATGTGATGCTACAGCAAAAAACAAGAATGAGGTTTGTTTCACTGGGATTGTTGGAGGTACTTAGAGCAAAGCAGCCCTTCTGGTTTACTCTTCCAAGTGCCCAGACTTTTGAAAATGACGCTTCTTGCTTAATTAGGGTCTACAGATTAAGGGGGAAAGTTTGCAATGAAGAGTAAAGAGATTAATTTAGAATTTGGGAAACAGGAACTGTTTACAAAAGCTTACTTACCTTTTGAAGAAAAACAAATCTTAGGGATAGATAGCAGCTTGTTCTTTGCCAGCCTGCTGAATGAGGACACAGTGGACAGATGGACTGGTGATTAGTTAGGGTTCAGCAAGACAATTACAAAAAGCCATAAACCAGTATTCACAAACATTGTTACAGCAAAGCCATCCTAGTCAGAAACCAGTAGAAGAGGGCTTGGCTATCTTTTCCCTTCCCCCTAAGACCCACCTGTCTTTTAGAGCACCTGGATATGAAGTGCGTGGAAGTGGCTCAGACCCCTCTGAGAAGATCCTCAGAACTGAAAACACAAAGACAAATGAATGGCTCTTGGATCCAGGGGTTCTAATGATGACACATCTTAACAGGCAAAAAAGAGGGAAACAACAACAACAAAGCCGCCTCCCAAACTACAGACCATTAGAGGAACTTGGAAAACATTGAGAGATTTCCTTTTAAAAGGATAGTTCACGATCTTTTCTCAGAATACCTATTGTATGTCAGCAGTCTGTTCTTGATGCAGGTTTTTTTAAGAACCCCAGAAAGTGTGAGGTGGGGTAAAAAGAGTGGGGACAGCTGTATCTGACTTCCACTGACATCACAAGAGGGAACACTCCCCAACAGCAACATCCACAGCACAAAACCCGTTTCCACATGGTCAGTCGTGAACCCTGGCTCCCACAGTTAATTCTACCAATTCCAAAACCAATTGTTCCTCCTGTGGCTCTCACTGCTCTCCTGCTGAGTCCATAAGCCTTTAGCCACACAGATCTTGCAGAACCATGCTCACAATTACTAGGTTCATTAGGGAAGTTAGCAGGTTATAATTCAGTCTGCCTTCAGGATATAATTCCTCAGTCAGGCAGCTTCTCAAGTGTGCTTTCAGACCTTTTGAGCTCAGCCTCACAACTTAGGTCAGTGTTACAAAACTCTCTTAGTTCTACCAATTACAGTGCCTCCCCACAGCCTTCCAGCAAGCTTGGACAAAGGCCCTGGCTCTGGCCCTGTGAGGCAGCAGTCCCAGGTCAGCTCTGTCTCATGCAAGTGTCTCTTCTCTGCTGCTGGTTCTGCTCTGTTCAGTCTAACTGGTGCAGGAATATCTGGCCCTGAGGGATGCGCTCTGTGTCTGCTTCTTCCTTGCTGGTAGTGAGATTCTCGATTCCTGACTGAACTGCTCAGTTTAAACCTGGTGGGATGGCATAGCTGGCCAGTTCTCTCATAGATAGACTACACACCCTATTTGCATGTGTCTTCTTCTAACACCCTCTCTCCCTTCCTCGCATTTGTGCATGGTGTTGGTACCCTCCCTCCCTTCTCTCTCTTCCTCCTCCCTCTCTCTTGCCTTTGCCTTGTATGTCTCCTCAGCGTGAGCCTTTTCACTTGCCATACCACCTTCTAGTGCCTCACACCTCTATTTCCCCAGTACTGTTCATTAGTCCCACTTTGCTTGTAAATGGAGGATCTCACCTGCCAATTTCTCCTCTACTTTTTCATCATCATCACGCCTTACACATGTGCTCCTTATTGTCATCCACTGGTGTTCCCTGAACCCTCTCCACACCCCACCGTGTGGCCTGCTCATTCCTCAGGGAAGCTGCTCCCACTCCTCCCACCCCTGAATGTCCATCAGTGGAAATAACCTTCTTCCTTGGAAACCGCTCTCCCCACATTATGCTGAGGGAAATCTCTCAGTCACAAAAGGTCACACACTGCATAGCACTGCTATTACAAAATGGGACTGACATGAGGGGATTGACAAGAGAATGGGGGGAAAGTTGATGAACACTGCATTAGGACAGATGAGGGCAAGAACTGTCCGAAAGGAATGTATGATTAGCCATTATATGGATGACAGCAATCTGGAGCAAGAGGTGCATTGCAAAGTGGACTGGGAGAGGGGGAGGAAAGAAAATAAGCAACAAAGAAGGAATTTTTTAAAAAAGAAACCACTTTTTATTTCTTTATTGGTTTGCTTGAACTTCTTTTAAAATGCTTA